GTCGAGGAAACAAAGACTCGAAACTCACTTGAGTTGTGTTAATGGCAAAGGTGAGAAATAACACAAGCCAATCACAGTTTTGAATGCGACTACAAATCGTCTTTTACCCTCATATTTATAAAAAGAAGGATACCACATTCGGAAGTATAAGAGATACATAGATGATCCCAGTGTACCAGTACCTAAATCTACAAAGCTTGACCGTAGCAAGCGTTCAGCAACACGTTCCAACACCGCCATCTCGATTCCTCAGTCAGTCGTTTCCACTGAACTTAAAGCAGTATTGACAACAGAGTAGAGTGCGTCTTACAAAGGAGAAACATTTGTACAAGAGACAGGAGTAGCTATATGCGATTACAGAGGTGCATTGGAACTCTGGTCCATAAATAGTTATGCACTGTATAAAACAATTTTGTTGATAGCTGACAGACAGAGAAGAACAACAAGTAAACTTAAGAGCTGTTATTATTGAAGTGTGACTAGCACTTTTCATTTTTATATAAAGAAGGACTTGTAATTTGCACCAAAAATAAAAAGATGTAATATTTTTTGGGAGATCCAGTGATTGGGACATTTAAGAAATTAAGTTATGAAAGGAAACTTGGTTGGTACTTCTCACTACTAACAAGTCTTGTTGACAAATATTTTCAGATCAGAGTTTCAAATAAAGTAAATTGAAGACGTCATATAAAAGGTGTTTTTCCTCAAAGGGAACATTGACTACCTCTGTCTTGTCTGCATGCCAAATGTTTGCAAAGTGTGTGGATGATCCACAAGTATTGGAACTCTTACAAAAATGTTTTGTAAGAATAAAAACAGCAAAACAAATTACAGCAATTAGTCATGAAAATAGAGCAAAAAACTGAAAAAAAAAGCAGCAACAACAATCATGAAAAAAGAAAGATTAATTAGGTGTTGAATTTGTTTGTCTAAGGCATGAAATTTCTACTAAAAGTATTGTCAACAAAAAGTCTCTGACAGTGTTTGAGGCAACTGAGCTTGACTGTTCCAAGGTTTTCTAACAAAGGCAACCAGTAAAGTAGGTTAGGGAAGTAAGATAACAATGTAATTATTGTTAATTATTGTGGAAGTTGGCAATTTCCATTTAACATAACTGACAGCTGGTTCATGAGAAAATCCATATTAATGTAAAGATTTACTAAAACTTAGTTTGAGTAATAAATTTCATGATCTTTAAGTTGTAAACATGTACATGTATGTATATCTCTTGGTAAGTTTTGTATAGCATACCTTTTATTGAGCCAAAGTTTTAAGCCTCTGAAATTACTCTTTTTCTTAAAACGTTCACATTCAAGGTATTGAGAATTTCTTAGAATTTATGTGGACCTCAGGGTATTAAAATTGCTTCAAATTCAATTCCCAGAAATTCCCAAGAGTTCCACACTTCTTAAATTATAGGTAGTTTGTAAAGCTGAGAATTCCTAGGAATTCCAAGGGATTCCAAGTCCTCACAAAACTGGAGTCTTCCTTTCCCAGAAATTCCCAGTAATTCCAAGCTTTTTAAATCAGAGTTAATTTGCATAGTTGGGAATTTTTGAGAATTCCTAGGAATTCCTAGAAATTCCTAGGAATTCCTAGGAATTCCCAGAAATTCCCAGAAAACTGGGAATTCAGTTTGCAAGGGTCATTTGCATAATTGGGAATTTTTGAGAATTCCTAGGAATTCCCAGAAAACTGGGAATTCAGTTCGCAAGGGTAGTGTGTGACGACGATTGCCAACTTTTACTTTATTCTGGCGTGTATTAATTGTATTGCCGCTTCGTGTTAGTTACAAGCTTATTAAGCTGAGCTTGTTTGAACAAGTTACAGCTGTCGAATTCACAAAAATTCGCAGGCAATGCTTGGCATTTACCTTGGACAAAATAAGTAATTCGGGAGAGTTACAAAGGATATCCAAATTATCGATTTGATTCAGTAAAAGCCCTTTTGATCGCAACACTTTCAGTTTCGTTTACGTGTCATGCGGAGCATGTACACAATCGTGTTTGGCACTAGCTTTCATGTCGGGCTTATGTACGTATTATCTTAATTTGCTCCTGTATTTACGATGCATTTGATCAAAAAGCGATAAACATTTTCAGAGTATCTCATGTGTTTATGTTTATCATTTTATACTGTAGTTTGAAAGTGATTTTTTCTTTTCGATAAACAGCTTAGATTGTCCTTCCAAACTGTACTGTTATACTGATTTCCTTGTTAAATATTGAGACAAGTTGATTTTTCTTCAAATTCAGCTAGTTATTTACTGCAAGAGTCCTTTCAATTAACTGCATTCGAGTTTTAGGAATCCAATTCATCAACTGGTAATGATTGATTAGTGTCTGAGTGAAGTTTTACCTTTTGTCATCTGCTAATCAACATACGATCAATCAATAACCATATCAACTGAATGTTTCCGATCAATTGTTTTTTTTTTTATTAAAACTGGTTTAGTTCTGCATGAGGCTGCATGCATCCAAGTATGTGTTTGTTGATAATTTATGTTGTTATATGGGAAGGTAGTCTTGGGATAAATGTAAAGTTCTGATTGGTTCTTACTTGGTCAGGATTTTGCCACATAGACCATCATTGCACCATACAGAAAATTATAAAACATGTAAATTCATTGTAAACTAGTTTAGTCCAAGTGACATTGGTGCATGACAATTACCTTGCTCTCTTGAGGGGTACTGGGGAATATTGGCACCATGTCATTCCTTTTCTGTTACAACCTTGGGCCAATATACCTCTGTAAAGCCCTGGCAATCAGCTGGTTATATAGAAGTTTGTGGTGGTTTTTGTAAAAGCGATATACACTTACAGGCTATTTTGAATTCCAGTTCAATTGACTTCCTTGTTACTCCACATTTATTGAATTATTTTTGTACATGAAGACAGCCAGCAAAGATTATTTGATATTTAAAAAACAACCAGTCATGATTATTAGGAGAATTGAAGTTAGCATCAAAGACAAATTAATTTTGTGCACAGACAATGTAAATATGGAATAACTGCAAAAACAATTAGTTAAATATACATAACTAATAAAGAAAAAATGTCAGCACCTGTACCAAATTTAAATCCATTTCAACATACATCAATCTGCATAAATGTAAATATTTCACTGTTTTTCCTATGATAAAGTGAAACAGTTGAACTAACAATCACCTATACAAATATGGGCATCAGCTCAACTGTAGGAAATTGAATAAATGAAATACATCTTTTATAAGTTTTGACCAGCAATCCCTATTTAAAAATCAAATAAGAAAATTTTACTTTGGTGTTGTAAAATTTGTTTCTTATGAGAAACAATTCAACATAAACTCTCTCCTCTTGCGGAGACATAGTGGTCTTATGATTAGTGAGGTGGACGCACCTTCAAGAGGTCTGCATTTGTAGCCTGGCCTGTGCTGGACTCAGGGTCAAGAGGTCTGGGTTCCAGTCAATGTGTTGTGTTCTTGTGCAAAACACTTTACTCGTACAGTGTCTGTCTCCACCCAGGAGTATAAATGGGTAGCAAAAATTAGTTAGGGAAACCTGATAAAATGCAAGGGGGGTGAAAGGGGGGGGAGAGGAGGGATGACAGCGGAATGGACTTGCATCCTGTCCAGGGTTAGGTAGTAATACTCCCAGCTGCTTCATGTAAGGAAACCAGGATTAAGTAAAGCTCAGGCCCTGGACAGGCCACTTTTCAAATCCAGATGTGACCTAAGTACCTACCACCTCTTAGTTTAAATGATTTAAATTGCTACTGTTACAAATTATATAAACTTGAAACACACAGATGTTGATTTTTGCCCAATTTATTTCAGTCAATTGCATAGGAATGTCTTTGGTAAATCTTGAAATTTATTGTAATGATTAGTGAATTACTGTTTATTTAAATATTAATGCTTGTTTTCTTCAATTTATATATCTTTTGTTCTTTTACTGCTTTAAATATGCTATTAATATTAATTGCTTGTGATTTTGTGTCTATGTATCCCTACCATTCTCAGGAGGGGAAAAATATTTAGTTTACAATTGGGTAATATGTTGAGCTAATTTTTTTCACCATTTGCAACCATCTTTTTTTTCAGGCCAGGATGACTTAAAACAGCAACTTTTTGAAAGAAGCATCCCCTTACAGTTGCTATGGCTAAAGAAAGAAGTCCAATTAAGGTTCCATCTGAAAATGAAGACTTACCTGACAAAGAAAATGCTCCAGATTTTGATGAGGACACTTTACGAGGTGAGCTAGGTTCAACTTTGGCTTCAGTCACTGTTAAAATGTTTTCTATTCCACCAGTTTCAAGAATGTAAGCAGATGTGGAGAATGATATTAATACACTGCATGACCACCTTAAAGGATGTTTGGCCAGTCATGACTCTGTTCTATGATTACAATATGCTGTTGATTGACTGAGAGGATCCATGACATATTTGTTATTTTCTTTTCTCAAATTTCAAAGCAAGTACACAAAGTTATAATAAGTAAAGACTTTATTTGATCATCATATAACATTCATTTTGTAAGTTTGCATCATAAGTACCATCATCATCATCATCATCTTTCCATTACATTATGCAACATTAAATTGAAAGTTTGAACTTCCCCTAAGCAACCAATTTCCAGTAGAGTGCAAGTGTTATATCACTGGATATAGAAGTGTTTAACCCTTGACACCCTAACATCAGTATCCATATTCTCCATACTATTCTTTGTATGTTTCTTGTGGTACTGAAAAAGAGAATTCATTTGAAGATCAATGCTTCTTAGGTTGGTGATCATTTCCTTTATTCTCATGAGCTTAGTGAATGATTCAGCAGTATTACTTCAAGCTTTTCAGGGGATGGGTCAAGTCAGGCAGGTGCAAAAGTGGCAGCTGGCACTAAAGGAAAAATCTGCAGCTTTTAAATCTCCAGATCTTGGCAGCTCTGCTCATGCACTAATTAACTACAACCACAAGTAATTATTAACTACAACCACAGACTTTGACACAAATTTTTTTTTTTATTTTTTCTTTGCAGCCACAGCTGATGTTTATAGGAATGAGGGTAACGAGGCCTTCAAGAAAGGAGATTTCATCAATGCTATTCATTTTTACACCAAAGGAATTAAAATGAACTGCAATGAGAAAGAACTGAAGGCCAAACTGCACAACAACAGGGCTATTGCACATTTTAAACTTGGTAAGATGATGAGAGCTTTAATATGCATTTTTTTTTTTCTATTTTGAAGCTATTGAGTTGTCAGTAGTAGTTTTCTGAAAAAGGTGATAATTTTGAATGCATGCCCGGAAAAATTTACCTCTTATCTTGGCCTCTCAAATATACAAAGAAGTAACCTCTTACACCAGATATCAATGAGCATCACAAGTTTTTCCCAAAATTATAGTAATGGTAGTTGGTTTGCAACATGTATGGCTAATCAGAGATATTTATTTCAATAACAGGAAATCACCAGGATTCACTAAGGGATGCAGAAGCAGCCATTGAGTTAAATCCAACTTTCCTTAAGGCAATTGTGAGAGGTTAGATATGTTAGCTGTGCAATAATAATAATGACAAAAGAACTCAACACTCCAAGGTTAAATGAGGTTAAATGGAGTTCAATCTTGTCTCAATTGACTTTAATTAAGAGGTCGAGACCACCCTGATGTACATTTGAATCCAGCTCTTGACTACTACGCCATTACTTTCCATTAATCATGATAAGAATATTATTTTGAACGGGATGAAGAACTCAATGCGGAATGCAAAACAAAATTTCAGCATGAATATTTTAGTTCCTTAAGTCCAATGAGTCACAGGTGTCAGATATGTTAAGAGCGTGTCCACGAGAGCACCGGGCAGTCGTGCTATAAGCCATCTCACCGATTTCAATGAAACTTTGACAGTTTAAAGGGTCTACCCCAAAACTCAAAGAGACAAACTGGTTTCTGTTTTGGTTCTTCCGGGGGAAGATAGACCACCCCCGGTTTTTCTTGGTTTTTACCAAGGAAATCGCTTCAAATAGGTAAAATGTATGAAGCTCTCACGGCGATGGTCTCTAACCGATTACTTTGAAGATTTGCACGCATATTTTTACATCCTTAGTTAATGTCTGCTGCGAGTATCAGTCAGTTGGATCGACGGCTTGTCAATCAACAGAGGCAAATATACGACTTTGGTTTCATCCAAATATTTGACAACTTTGAGGTCAAATATCTCCCGTTGCCAGAAAGCTACAACACTAATCCTAATTCCCCTTTATAACCCATCATTTCATCTCTGAAAATCATCAAAAAAATCTTTGGGCACTACCGTATTTTTGTCTTGGATGCCTTTTAAAATCTGCGACTGTGACAAGTTTCTCTCAACTACACCTGTCACGCAATTCTTGCTCTAGGCGGTCACTTGACAAAATACACCTACATTTTTTAGCTCTTTATACAAGATGATTGGTCAAGAAAGGTGAAAAATGTGAAAAACGTTCGAGATTTTTTGTAGGAATGGAAAATTTCACGTTTAGAGAAATGCATGTCGACGGAAGATCAATGGGAAAATCGTAGCGTTTCTTTCTTCAGTCGTTTATTACTTTGAAGATTTGCTAAAAAAAAAAAGGGCATAAGGCTCTTGTACAGAACAAAACATTCATTAGCCTATACTTTGATCGTCCATTATCATTATCGCACAGTTTACAATGAGAAAACTGTAACAGGAGAGGAGATGTCACATGTCGCCTGCTTGTCGACGTACAAGTTCCCGAGTGTAACAACTTTGGCTTTTCCATACCGCGAACGACGGGAAACTCTGCCCCCCTTATTTCATAGGAAATATCAATAGCCCCATAAATTCATTAACTACGCCATGTTTCCAGAAAATAAGATTGGAAAATTTTTTTTCCACTTTCCACCATCAAGAAATTCCACGCATAGGAATAGTATTTGTAGGGTCACTGCGTGACCTTTTATGAGAAGTAAAAATTGTTCATCTTTTTTTTTTCAAGAAGACACTTCTAGAAAGATCCTAATCCTTCTGTTATCTTATTTCCCTGTTTTTTGACTGCAAATATCATCTGCATTCAGTTTGCTATTATTTTCGCTGATTGTCATGGCCTTTCCGGCGTACACGTGCGAGCTAGTTCATATACAGGACTCTTTCGAGTTTCTCTGGCTGGTGTCGGGCTTATGTGTGTAGGTCTGGTTCAAAAGATATCTGCACGCTGCAACACGGGTTCCTATGTTTTCTCCTTTTTCTTTATTTATATTTTCATTCTCTTGCTTGCATTATCACACATTTATGTTTTTTTATTCCATCAGCACGTTCCCTCAGATTTGGAAGTAGGCCATGAAAAGTCAATATTGACCAGAACTGAAATCCTTTTCTTTAACTATTTGTTTCGGAGAACCCCCGTCATTTGTGACTTTATTTCTCAAGAAAATGTGTTTTTATTTGCTATTTATTTCCATTAGAACATGAAACTAGGTCCTGATAAGTTTTTTTGTCTCGTGACTCCCAAAAACTGTGTTTGCAACAACATCAATTGAGAAATCAAAGGCAATTACGCCTGAGAAATTCGCTTGTAGTCTTCTACCCACAGAAGGCAACTCCATATAATGAAACGTTCTAAGACCTCTGTAAACTAGAGACATTGGGTGATGTTGAGGAGTGAAATATTTACCCTAAATCTGTGACCCTCAAACGGATCCGTACTCGTACGTGTAACTTCCGGAAAATGTCACGCATGTATAACACCGTAAGCGCACCTGGCGTATTCTATCCACTGACTTCAATAGTAAAGAGACAACTTATTTACTATTTGTATATGAGCAAACTTATTTACCCTACTTGAAAAAATCCTTGATAAAGTCTACTATTGTCAGACGAAACGCGTGGGAGATAAATTCAAGTTTTTACTTTCTTAGTTCGTGCAGTGATGCTCACTAGTTTGTTCCGTCAAAAATGCTTTTAATGTGAAGTTACGTCGACCTCGACAGAAAAACTAAGCTCACCCTGTCATAAACAATGGTTTGATACCGTAAGTACCAATTTAGGTACATCATTGGGCTTTGATCACAATGATGAAAAAAAATGTGCGTTTCCTCACGCTCGCCACGTTTATTCTTTGGAAAATTATTTTACTGGAGGGCGATGTCGCTTACCTTGGCGCGTCTTGACTCTGGCCGACGAAAATTATCGAGGTAAACTCCATGAATTCAAGTCAAATGTTTTAAAAACTTTGTCTACCCTTGATTTGCACGCAGAAAAAAAAAGGCAAATTCTGAACGGTATTTGAAAACATTTAATTCATTGGTCAGTTCATGAACTGTTTTATAGGAGCCCGAGGAAAAAGCAAAATTGAAACAACCGGCGTATCGGTCAAATGAATTCCAATTTTTTCAACAAGGAGTTGGTAAGTTCATTTTTCCTAGTAAATTTAAGTGGGGTCATTTTTTTGTGACAGCCGATCAAAGATAGACATCTCTGAAATGTCTCTGAAACTCTTTTTAAAAAGAGTTTAGACTTCCGGTAATATTTTCCTCCTTCTCGTAACAGCGCAACAGACATTGTTAATCCTATGTAGTATCGGTGTATCAGTTGTATTACGTCTTCATAGTAGGACAGCATGAACAACGCGCTTGAATAATTCCTACTAAGAGTCTTCGGGTCACACAACAGATGTTAGCTTAGCGGAGTTCTGCATGGAAATGTTCGATGGCGGTAAGTGACAACGACAACACTATTTAATTTTATTTTCGGGATAGAGGCACAGTTCTTAGTCCGATAGAAGTATTGATATTTGCTCTCGAGCGAGAGCGCAGAATTTCTCGTCTGTAAAAGCCGAAGTTGTAGCACACTGGAACATGTAATAATATCAACCAACACGCAGGATGACTTTAAAATCTCCTAAAATGAGCAATGATGATGATTAACAATCATATTATAGACTAATGAGTGTTTTGTGCCGTACAAAAGCCATATCTGCTGATTTTAGCAAATCTTCAAAGTAATAAACGACTGAAGAAAGAAACGCTACGAAACGTGTAATAATGTTTTCACCTTTCTTGATAAAGCAAGAATATCTCGCTTTCTTGTTCCGTCTATGACGGATTGGGTATAGCTCTCGCGATGACCCGCGTTCAGAAATCTGTGCACGTTGCTGATAACAACCCACTTCTACGATTAGTTTGCTGAAGGTTTCTAATGTGACGAGCCTAGTGAGACCCTGAGGTGCTTCAAACTGTGCCAGTTGGTCTGCGCTATAAACTTGTCGCAGTTCTTAAGTCAGAGGGAGGATCGCCCACCTCTATCTATGTGAACGCCTCTACAGTACCTGCGTATCCCTAGCAATCATATGATATAAAGTTCATCTCAGTCACAAATCACCAGTTAGGAAAACTGATGTTCAGATAAGCGCTCTTCTTGCCCTTCTTCCCTATTCATTGCCGACTCTAAGATAGCAGCTACAGTACGCGTTCTATTTAGGTTTACAGTCACCTTGCCGCCACCAGGAAGACTCGCCACCAGCTTTGATTTCTTCTGCCATCTGCAGATTCATCTCTCTCTCCCTTTATGTCTCCGATTTTTATGAGGAGGAAGCTGGCATTCACGAACTCGAAGGTCTGAATCTCACACCAAGTTGTTTTGCACGATATTTGAGGTACATCGTGAAATCGCGGCCTTCGTAATCTCCAAATAAGCCAATACGCGCTAGAATAAGCTCCATCTCGGACGAAACGCATGTTTAGGATACATCGACGTCTCTCAAATGTTTTTTTTTTTTTTTTTTTTTTTTTAAGCTGTATACCCACGAATTTAGAGGTATAAGCTGTTGCCGTCCCTGGCCAGCGCGAGAAAAGTAACATTTGATTCAACAGTTAGTTGCAAATGAACAAGACAACTGCACCATCTTGACTTTAGCAATTCGAGTGTTAGATTGAATTGAGGGCCTTTTAGACACTCGATTTCTTATATGACATAACTATGAAGACGTAATACAACTGATGCACCTATACTACATAGGATTAACAATGTCTGTTGCGCTGTTGCTAGAAGGAGGACAATATTACCGGAAGTGTACGCTCTTTTTAAAAAGAGTTTTAGAGCCGTTTCAGAGATGTCTATCTTTGATCGGCTGTCACAAAAAAAATGACCCCCACTTAAATTTACTAAGAAAAATGAACTTACCAACTCCTTGTTGAAAAAATTGGAATTCATTTGACCGGTACGCCGGTTGTTTCAATTTTTCTTTTTCCTCGGGCTGCTATGAAACAGTTCATAAACTGACCAATGAATAAAGTGTTTTGAAATAAATCGGGATTTGCCTTTTTTTTTCTGCGTGCAAATCAAGGGTAGACAAAGTTTTTAAAACATTTGACTAGAATTTCATGGAGTTCACCTCGATAATTTTCGTCGGCCAGAGTCAAGACTCGCCAAGCTAAGCGACATCGCCCTCCAGTAAAAAAAATTTCTCCAAAGAATAAACGTGGCGAGCGTGAGGAAACACACACTTTTTTTTCATCATTGTGATCAAAGCCCAAAATTACCTAAATTGGTACTTACGGTATCAAACCATTGATTATGACAGGGTGAGCTTAGTTTTTCTGTCGAGGTCGACGTGACTTCACATTAAAAGCATTTTTGACGGAACAAACTAATGAGCATCACTGCACGAACTGAGAAAGTAAAAACATGTATTTATCTCCCACGCGTTTCGTCTGACAATAGTAGACTTCATCAAGGATTTTTTCAAGCAGGGTAAATAAGCTTGGTCATATACAAATAGTAAATAAGTTATCTCTTTACTATTGAAGTCAGTGGGTAGAATACGCCAGGTGCGCCTACGGTGTTATACATGCGTGACATTTTCCGGACGTTACATGTACGAGTACGTGATCCGTTTAAGGGTCAAAGATTTAGTGTAAATATTTCACTCCTCAACATCACCCAATGTCTCTAGTTTACAGAGGTCTTAGAACGTGTCATTATATGGAGTTGCCTTCTGCGGGTAGAAGACTACAAGCGAATTTCTCAGGCGTAATTGCCTTTGATTTCTCAATTGATGTTGTCGCAAACACAGTTTTTGGGAGTCACGCGACAAAAAAACTTATCAGGACCTAGTTTCATGTTCTAATGGAAATAAATAGCAAATAAAAACACATTTTCTTGAGAAATAAAGTCACAAATGACGGGGGTTCTCCGAAACAAATAATGATAGAAAAAGATTTCAGTTCTGGTCAATATTGACTTTTCATGGCCTACTTCCAAATCTGAGGGAACGTGCTGAGGGAATAAAAAAAAATGAATGTGTGATAATGCAAGTAAGAAAATGAAAATACAAATAAAGAAAAGGGAGAAAACATAGGAACCCGTGTTGCAGCGTGCAGATATCTTTTGAACCAGACCTACACACATAAGCCCGACACCAGCCAGAGAAACTCGAAAGAGTCCTGTATATGAACTAGCTCGCACGTGCACGCAGGAAAGGCCATGACAATCAGCGAAAATAATAGCAAATGCAGATGATATTTGGAAGATTAGGAACTTTTTAGAAATGTCTTCTTGAAAACAAAAAAAAAAAAACAATTTTTACTTCTCATAAAAGGTCACGCAGTGACCCTACAAATACTATTCCTATACGTGGAATTTCTTGATGGTGGAAAGTGGAAAAAACATTTTCCACTCTTATTTTCTGGAAACACGGCGTAGTTAATGAATTTATGGGGCTATTGATATTTAACAAATAGAGAAGCCTTGACTGTGCTCTGTTCTGTTATAAAGCACGCAGGAAGCGGCTTACACACGTAAATTACGGCGCCTGGTATGTTTACAAACCTTTGTTTGATTCTTCTGTTGCTACTTGCCGGCTCGCTTCAGTGTCGAAATTCCAATTATCGGAAAAAAGCTGAAAAGAAGTCCCGGAAAAGCTCGAACATAGCACAATTGGCAGATGGCGTGACAGCTCTAGCTCAGCTCTATGCTCTATACTCTCATAGAGCACGTTCTTTCAACCAATGACAGCGCGCGTTATATGCGAACTTTCTTATAATTCCTAACAAATAAGGGGGGCAGAGTTTCCCGTCATTCGCGGTATGGAAAAGCCGAAGTTGTTACACTCGGAACTTGTACGTCAACAAGCAGGCGACATGTGACCTTAAAATCTCCTCTCCTGTTAAAGTTTCCTTATTGTAAACTGTGCGATAATGATAATAGACGATCAAAGTATAGGCTAATGAATGTTTTGTTCTGCACAAGAGCCCTATGTCCTGATTTTAGCAAATCTTCAAAGTAATAAACGACTGAAGAAAGAAACGCTACGATTTTCCCACTGATCTTCCATCAACATGCATCTCTCTAAACGTGAAATTTGCCATTCCTACAAATTATCTCGAAAGTTTTTCACATTTTTCACCTTTCTTGAGCAATCATCTTGTATAAAGAGCTAAAAAATGTAGGTATATTTTGTCAAGTGACCGCCTAGAGCAAGAATTGCGTGACAGGTGTAGTTGAGAGAAACTTGTCACAGTCGCAGATTTTAAAAAGTATCTAAGGCAAAAATACGATAGTGCCCAAAGATTTTTTTGATGATTTTCAGAGATGAAATGATGGGTTATAAAGGGTAATTAAGATTAGCGTTGTAGCTTTCTGGCAACGGTTGATATTTGACCTCAAAGTGTTCAAATATTTAGATGAATCATAAAGTCTAAAAACACCATCGTATATTTGCCTCTGTTGATCGACAAGCCGTCGATCAAACTGACTGATACTCGCGGCGGCCATTAATTAAGGATGTTAAAATATGTGTGCAAATCTTCAAAGTAATCGGTTAAATACCATCGCAGTGAGAGCTTCATACATTTTACCTATTTGAAGCGATTTCCTTGGTGAAAACCAAGAAAAAGCGGGGGGTGGGCTATCTCCCCCTGGAAAGAACCAAAACAGAAATCAGGCTGTTTTTTTGGAGTTTTGGGGTAGACCCTTTAAACTGACAAAGTTTCATTGAAATCGGTGAGATGGCATGTAGCACGACTGCCCGGTGCTCTCGTGGACACGCTCTGAAGTCACTATCTAGCTGTTTTAAAAAGAAGGATCAGGACTTACCTAACTTTTAGTGTTTTTGTAGGAGTTGTTGATCCTAATTTAAGTGTTCCTAGAAATTTCAGTTGTCTGTAAGGCTAAATAAATCTAACTGAAACCTAATAGGGCCTGTTTATTCTTTTCCGTTTAGTTTTTTTGTATTGTTTTGTTTTGCCTTTTTTTTTTCTTCTGGTCTGTAATGATTTCAATGGTTTCAGGTTCTTTTCTCAGAATTGAGCTACAGTAACAGTATGCTTCTTTGTGTTGTTGCCTACAGGAGCCACTGCTTGTGTTGAATTGAAGAGGTTTGAAGAAGCAATCGCTTGGTGTGATAAGGGACTAGCTGTATCCTTTGAAGGAATCTTTCATTTTTAACCGTGGGTATAATGGAAAAAAGTTTCCATAATTTGATGTTTCAAGGGAGAAAATACAAAGAAGGGTGTTAATTATGATGGGAACTTGTCAGCTCATATACTTTAAGTGTGTGTGTGATTAAAAACATAGGAGAAGTTATTACCTCATGGCTTATTAATGAAATTACTCCTTTTAGCCACTTTGACTTAGTTCTACTATCCATGCCAATAACTGGTACATTAGTTTAGATAACCCTTTAATTCACAGACCAAATTTGTAATTATCCTTACTGTCAACCATACAATTCTTGTAATGTTAGTACATAGAATTCAGTATTGCATCAATTAACTATTTTTAAATTGATATATCTTTTTTACTCTCAACACTTATCTGATTGATATTGTATTGCTATTGTAAGGAGAAATTCTCTTTTGGTCACTCACGGGAGTTAAAGGGTTAGAAGACTAAATTTTATCCAGTTTATACATCTTACTTGGGTAGATGATCTCTCTAAAATAGGCCAAAACAAAAAGCTCGGTAATGTTTACATATCTTATGCAGATTTTCTTGCCTTCGACCTTTTGCCACTACTTAGAGACTCGGAAACTTTCGTTGTGCTTTCCTATGGACAAATAAAAATTTTAAAGACATGTATTTGTATTATAGACTCATTTCTTCCACTGCTGTAAAACATTTGTCAGATATTAAAGCTATATTAATTTAAACATTGAGCAAGTGCTGCTCAGTTTTTGGAAACTAGGGATTAAATCTAGATATTGCGCGTTAAATTTTGAGGCTGCACACAGAACAAAACCATTTTTTGAAGTGTAGATTTACTTCATAACTGACTTTAAGACTGAATGTTGATAAATCCTCTACCTTTCATGCAAAGCCCTCCGAATGGGCCATTTTATAGCTGTGTACTTAGTTGCCAAGCCTTTGATTTGGAGTGAGGCTGAAGGTGACCCTGTTGTGATAGAGACCAGTATCTAGAAACGATAATAACAAAGTAGTTTGCATTTAAAAGGCAGCAATGTTTTTATCATAACAAGGTCACCCTTAATCATCGCTCTTGTTCAGAGGTTTGGGAACCAAACACGCAAATGTTAAAATAAACTATTACATATCAATATGATCAGAAACATAATCTTTTTTGTTTTTTTCTACATTTGTAACCCTTAACATAAAAAAGATTGACAAAAACAATAGGATCTTCTTGTCATTGAGACTTCAGTCTGTCAGTGAAGTGAGAGATAAATCCATGGAGGAAAAAGATCCTCTTAGTCATGACCACGGTAGTGCAAGTTCAGATGATGTCAAGAAAGTCATAGATCTCTATAATCGGGGAGAAATAGCCATAGAGTACCAGAATCTACATCTTAAAAAAGCTAAAGAAATAGGAGACAAGCATGGAGAGGGTAAGGCTTATGGCAATCTTGGCAATGCTTATGACCGTCTGGGTGATTTCAAAAAAGCCATAGAGTACCACAACCTACATCTTAAAATAGCTAAAGAAGTAGGAGACAAGCATGGGGAGGGTAACGCTTATGGCAATCTTGGCAATGCTTATGGCAGTCTGGGTTATTTCAAAAAAGCCATAGAGTACCACAACCTAGATCTTAAAATAGCTAAAGAAGTAGGAGACAAGCATGGGGAGGGTAACGCTTATGGCAATCTTGGCAATGCTTATGGCAGTCTGGGTGATTTCAAAAAAGCCATAGAGTACCACAACCTACATCTTAAAATAGCTAAAGAACTAGGAGACAAGCATGGGGAGGGTAACGCTTATGGCAATCTTGGCAATGCTTATCACCGTCTGGGTGATTTCAAAAAAGCCATAGAGTACCACAACCTAGATCTTACAATAGCTAAAGAAGTAGGAGACAAGCATGGGGAGGGTGGTGCTTATGGCAATCTTGGCAATGCTTATCGCAGTCTGGGTGATTTCAAAAAAGCCATAGAGTACCTCAACCTACATCTTAAAATAGCTAAAGAAGTAGGAGACAAGCATGGGGAGGGTAACGATTATGGCAATCTTGGCAATGCTTATCACCAAGTGGGTGATTTCAAAAAAGCCATAGGGTACCACAACCTACATCTTACAATAGCTAAAGAAGTAGGAGACAAGCATGGGGAGGGTAACGCTTATGGCAATCTTGGCAATCCTTATCAGCGTCTGGGTGATTCCAAAAAAGCCATAGAGTACCACAACCTACATCTTAAAATAGCTAAAGAAGTAGGAGACAAGCATGGGGAGGGTAACGCTTATGGCAGTCTTGGCAATGCTTATCACCGTCTGAGTGATTTCAAAAAAGCCATAGAGTACCACAACCTACATCTTAAAATAGCTAAAGAAGTAGGAGACAAGCATGGGGAGGGTAACGCTTATGGCAATCTTGGCAATGCTTATCGCCGTCTGGGTGATTTGAAAAAAGCCATAGAGTACCACAACCTAATTCTTACAATAGCTAAAGAAGTAGGAGACAAGCATGGGGAAGGTAACGCTTATGGCAATCTTGGCAATGCTTATCAGCGTCTGGGTGATTTCAAAAAAGCCATAGAGTACCACAACCTAGATCTTAAAATAGCTAAAGAAGTAGGAGACAAGTATGGGGAGGGTGTTTCTTATGGCAATCTTGGCAATGCTTATCGCCGTCTGGGTGATTTCAAAAAAGCCATAGAGTACCACAACCTACATCTTAAAATAGCTAAAGAAGTAGGAGACAAGCATGGGGAGGGTGGTGCTTATGGCAATCTTGGCAATGCTTATCACCGTCTGGGTGATTTCAAAAAAGCCATAGAGTACCACAACCTACATCTTAAAATAGCTAAAGAAGTTGGAGACAAGCATGGGGAGGGTAACGCTTATGGCAATCTTGGCAATGCTTATCACCGTCTGGGTAATTTCAAAAAAGCCATAGAGTACCACAACCTAATTCTTACAATAGCTAAAGAAGTAGGAGACAAGCATGGGGAGGGTGGTGCTTATGGCAATCTTGGCAATGCTTATCTTAGTCTGGGTGATTTCAAAAAAGCCATAGAGTTCCACAACCTAGATCTTAAAATAGCTACAGAAGTAGGAGACAAGCATGGGGAGGGTGGTGCTTATGGCAATCTTGGCAATGCTTATCTTAGTCTGGGTGATTTCAAAAAAGCCATACAGTACCTCAACCTACATCTTAAAATAGCTAAAGAAGTAGGAGACAAGCATTGGGAAGGTAAGGCTTATTGCAATCTTGGCAATGCTTATTTTAGTCTGGGTGATTTAAAAAAAGCCATAGAGTACCACAACCTAGATCTTAAAATAGGTAAAGAAGTAGGAGACAAGCATGGGGAGGGTAACGCTTATGGCAATCTTGGCAATGCTTATGGCCGTCTGGGTGATTTCAAAAAAGGCATAGAGTACCACAACCTACATCTTATAATAGCTAAAGAAGTAGGAGACAAATCCTCGGAGGCAATGGCCTACTGTTCATTAGGATTGGATTTTGAGTTTCAAGGTGGACTGCCAAAAGCCGTTGAACATTACCAAGCTAGCATAAACTTATTCAATTCCTTGAGAGTACTTCTAATATCTAAAGATGAGTGGAAAGTTAATTTTCGAAATCGGCATCAAGTGGCGTATACGGGTTTGTGGAGAGTTCTCGTAGAACAAGGTAATGTAGATGAAGCCTTATTTTTTGCTGAGAAAGGACGAGCTCAAGCTCTGACCGACCTCATGGAATCCAGGTTTTGTGGTGCAACAAGTCACCGCAAGGGAGAAGATGAAGATTGCGCAGTATTAAAAAACGTTCCATCAAACACTGTCTTTCAGGCAGTGGACAAAGCTAACGTCTATCTTTGGGTTGTGTCCGAAGGAAAACAAGTTCAGTTAAGACAAAGTAAACTCAAAGGTTTTGTTTTAGAGAATAGTGGATCTAGCCTGTCCTTTGAGTCGTTCATGCTCGGTGTCTATACACAACTTGGTGTTCGTTCTAATGTGAGATGCGAGAATCGATCTTTAGATGCTTTGAGGGAGGTTCGTTTAAAAGTGGATGAGAAAACCAAAGAAGCCAAGCCTCAACCTCACATCCAACAAGACGGATGCTTGAGCACTTTGTATGATATCGTTATGAAGCCGGTGGCTGACTTGATTGAAGGGGATGAGCTACTCATTATTCCTGATGGACCCCTGTGGATCGCTCCTTACGCTGCATTGAAGGATGGTAATTCTAAATACCTGTGTGAATCGTTCGCAATCCGAGTCGCTCCATCGTTAGCAAGTCTTAGACTCATTGCCGATTGCCCAGATGATTATCACAAAAGCAGTGGTGCGTTACTTGTAGGAGGTCCGTGGTTATCCGAGGTTACTAACAGCGAGGGAAAGAAAGTCTTCGAGGAGCTTCAGTATGCTAAAAAAGAAGTAGAAATGATCGGAAAAATTCTGAATATCACGCCAATCACTGGCAGTCAGGCCACGAAACGTGAGGTGTTGAAAAGACTCAGTTCCGTTTCCCTAGTTCACTTTGCGGCATACGGATGTATGGAAACTGGCGAAATTGCTCTTACACCTGACCCAGACCGAATATCTACTGTGCCAACGCAGGAGGATTGCATTTTAACAATTGGAGATGTGTTGAATGCTCAACTTCGGGCCAAACTTGTTGTGCTTAGTTGCTGCCACAGCGGCCGGGGCGAGATCAAGGCTGAAGGTGTGGTTGGCATTGCGCGCGCTTTTATGGGGGCTGGTGCTCGGTCTATTGTGGTTTCCCTCTGGGCGATTGATGACGAGGCTACTCTTGAGTTCATGAAACACTTTTATCAACAGCTTGCAGGAGGTAAACCAGCAAGCGAGTCACTGAACCTGGCCATGAAAAGCCTCAGAGAATCAGACACGTTCTGCGACATCAAATACTGGGCTCCCTTTTTGCTGATTGGAGATGACGTCACTCTTGACTTCATGGCAAAGGAAAGAGAAAATTTGAATATGAAATCACATAAATGAAAACTTTTTTTATTTCATCTCAAAATGAATGACGCAGGAACTTGGAAGGTTTAAATGCTTCTCTATTTTGGCGCTTTTTGGCTATTTTTCATTACTTTTCACTTTTTTGTTAAATGGAACTTGAGATGTGTGACTTTACTTTGGTGAAGAAATAAAACAGACTTTTTCAGTATATTTTATTCAGTGGAATTGCTATTTTTTTACCTTTAAAAATTTAGATGCTTGCGAAGAGAACAAGATGCAACAAGGCGTCTGCTGTTAGTGCCTGAAGTTGTTGAAGGCGACTACGAGGTTTTCGTTTCGCCAAAATGACACTCAGATCTATTCCTTTATTGCAATCAGTTATGTGTAAAATAATTTAGAGGTTTTTTTCTTGTACACAACCAGGAGCATGTCCAGCGGGTTTTAATTACGTTGATACTCTAAGCTTTTGATAAGCAAAGAAACAGTTTGTCATTTGCAAAAGGTGGCGAAATTTTAATTTCAAAATGTGATTTGCAAAATTCGCAGCCATATGTGAATTGATCTTAATGGTTTTTCTACGTCATAAATTACTTTGTTGCAATTTGCAATTATCTTTACAAAAAAATTGATTATCATTTTCGACTTTTTTTCAATCCATTTTAATGCAACCTAATTCCATCAGTGCCAAGATTGCCATTCTAAGCTTAATTTGAAGAAGTAATCATCAGAGATGATGTTGTTGAATTTATTGACCATATGTTAGAGACATTAGACCTACTCTCAGGGGTGTGGCCAGCCTCTAGTCCCGTGGGCCCGGCCTACAATTGTTTTCCGCCCGCTTGACTTTTCTAATATGACTCTTACAAATGTTGAAACAAAAATTGAAATTTCTCAGGAAAAAGGCCTACAACAAGTCAAAGAGCTGGCTACAACGGCCTGCTTTCAATCAAACGAGTTTGATCAATTTTAGTCCGTTTTATCAAACACTCATCAGTTTGTTTTAGAGAACGACGACAGAGACAAATTGTCCATGTAATCTAAACAAGGAAATAGCGAGACAGAGTTTACTTTAACTGAAGTTTCCATTGCTGTGACTTTTAATGTAGGTGACATGGAATTTGTTGTTTTCATTAGGAAAATATTTACGTCAATAAATTAGGGAAACACTTGAAGTAAGCCATGTAGTCCTCAATGGGAATTATTTTGGTGAAAATGTTCATGAATAAATGTAAATCTAGGCCATAGTTAAAAAGGTTCAGGGCTTCAGGATAAAACTTGCATTTTTTTGAAAATTTCCCGTTCAAATTTTTTTTATGGCTTTAAATTTAGCTTAGTATAATTTGGAGATGTCTGATGATATCTTTCTTAGATTTAAGAATTTATACTTAGGTATTCAGAGCACGCTTTGTAATTAGAACCCGTTATGTGGTCAAAAGATTAAGGTATACTGTATCACAGCTGTTTTAAAAGAAATTTTTGTCAAATCAATGCTAATGTTTGATATATTTTCATAACTACCATTGGTATATGCTGCTATAAAATGTAATAGTTAACCTTGCACATGGTTAAATATGATGTAACGTAGGATTTTAAAAACAAGCTGGAACAATTCCGACTAAACATTCTTTTTATAATGTCAGTGTATTTGGTGTGAATTGTTTTGATGCTATTTGTATTTAAAGTTGAAGCTATTTGTTCATTTACCTTAGTTTTAATTCATTAACTCATTAACTCCCAAGTTGTGAAGAAAAATTCTCCCAACTGATAAGAATGTGTTTCTCTGTCGCTTGATTCTGAGAATTCGATGAAACATAACGTTTCTAGTGAAAAATAATCCGCTAGTTTAGATTTTCTCTATTGTTATTGACACCATGTTTGTCGGTACATTAATTTTGTGAGGAGAATTTAAGTTATGATCAATCTTGGGAATGAATGGGTTCATTTTAGTGTCTCTGTTTAGCGCGTACTTTACTTAATGCCTTGAACAATTTAATGCAGTTTGTATTGTACTTTTTTTACTTTTTTGTGTAAGAGAAATAGAGAGTGTATAAAATACAAAAACTGCCTTTGTTTTCATTGTCTGTCTCCATATTCTAAGGATTCGCGTGAGATGCAGGGAGAACAGATCCTACGGGGACTTCAATGCTTGTTTTGACCCGCGCGCGCCAAGTTGATAATCTTTGCAGCTGACAGTGTACTGACATTCCATGTTTCAAGCCCCCACCCACTTAACAAACGCTCGTCGACTCTTCCATTGTGTCTCTTTCACTGTCTACCGTTCTCCATATTGTCACACGATTTTGAATGCCGACGGACGTGTTCATACTGTTACCTGTGTGCGCCCTTTTTACCTTTTTACACCTTTTCACATTTGTGCATCTCTTTTTTCTCCTTCCTTCTGTTTCTTCCCTTTTTTTCATCGTACTTTTCCTTTATTCCCATTTTTACGCGCACTTCTTTCATCGCCCTCAACTTTATTCTTCTACGCGCTTCACTAGACGCGACTCCTTGTCTGTTTCAGTTTTCATTCGTCTCAACCCTCGCACAACGTCAGGTCTCTTACAACTCATATACCTCCTTACTTCCCCAGAGAAGTTGTTATTATGCTCATTTTGTTGACTTTAGGATGGTGTCCTCTTAGCATCATGTCTAGTAAAATCTTAGTTTTCCTTTCGACTCATTCCCAGTCCACTGGGGGTCTCAATTTTAAGTCTCACTTGCCAGTGTTTGCTCTCCTCGGTCCTCTCATCACAGTAGCATTTTGTTGGAAACGAGTCCTTCAATGTCCAAATTAAGGCTTCTTCTGTCATCCGATTGGGAATGGATCAAACTCTCGCCCAGGGTCCACCTACATCGCGAGTCCAAGATGGCAGCAGGCCAATCCACAGACTTCTCCGAGTCGGTAGCCGTCATCTTGGATGTAGACGCAGAGAGGACCTTGAAAAAGTGTTTTGACAAGACAATAATCAAGAAAGGTTAAGTTATTGTAATGCTTCCTAAGAAGTAGTCGATAACAGCCCGAGAGATTCATTAGGAGCAAACACGTTTCGTCGATTATTGGACTCCATGTCTCCTCACGTTGTAGAACAAACTCCTCGAATACGTACGCCTATATGCCCCTCTCCTCCTCCCCTAAATAGCACTATACATCCCTTTAATTGCAACTTTAAAAATTATACAGCACAATACAACATTATACCCCTGAGTAGCACTGTATATCCGTAAAATGAAGTAACTGTGCAGCGCATCACAACAATATGAAACCCTAAATAGTACTATGCTTCCCTCTACTGAATTTTTTTTCAGCATACAGCGCTCTATAAACTATTGCTCCAATTTGGCACGAAAATAATTGTGGATATTTGTCCGCGGACATTATCCATTCCAAGATGCCAAAACTGTGAGCTTCGAGGGACAATGTCCAAGGACAAATATCCGAACATATTTTCGTGCAAAATAGAGGCTATTGTGATTTTTATCCTTTAATTATTTTGCAACGCTCGTGAAAGAATCTTTATGAACAGCTCACTGATGGGACATAGCGTAGAATGGCTATTGTTCTTGTGACATTTACTTACAGTTCAAGAAGACGCATAGGTCTGTCATAACGCTTATTACTATTCATGGAAGCCCAGAAAGAAGCTTTTTTATTGGTTGCTATGAACGCGCGGCAATACTCATTAACTTGAATGTGGCGGCAAACTGAACAATGGCTTTAGTGCGCTATTGTTACTCCCTTTGTTTGAATGACCACAACCCGCTTTTGTTTCTTCCTTCGTTTGAATAAACTCGGCGTTGTTTGTTTCGCAAAAGTTTGACTCCGACGCAAAATTATAAGTTTCGCTAAGGTTTTGTTTCGTCAAAAGGAGGTTTTGTTTCGCAAAAAGTGAACTTGAAACGCAACGCCGGAAACAAAGCGAATTTTATAGTTGCCGCGCGAGGAAGACGATCATGTACCGTAAAAAAAACTAATCATTCATAATCGAGCTCACAATAAAGTTTTGCCAATCAAACAAAATTGCACGTTCGCGTATCGAACGATCAATTATCGAATTCAGGAGAACTTTCATTGGATTGATGCGTTGGGCTGGTTATTATCTCGATTTTGTTTGAAACATCGGGTTGTTTTCTTTCACAAATGGAGGCACTATATGTACATGTAACGGATTGATGGGGTTGTCAACGAGCTCTGAAAAGAGCTCCCGATCGCTGACGTTTTCCATGACTTTATCCATTGCGCGATATGATCGGCTGTTTGAATAAACCAGCTGCTTTACTTTACTTACTTTTAAAATTCGCGGTAATAGTGAATAATACAACTGAATGGTTTTTATGAATGGTCTGTTATTTAGTCTTGGTAACCATTGTTATTCAATCGAAGGCTTAAAACAATAGCTCGCTCGCTCAAGACGCGCCATTTTCAAACGCGAATTCAACCAGCAGTTTTCAAACTGAAAAGGATAGTGGTTCCCGTTGACCAATTTGTAAACTTTTTGCAGATTCTTGATGAGAAAAGATGAATTTTCCATAAACCGTGCGTGGGTAAAAGTAAAGTTTTCAGAAATTTGCTTTGGAAAACGGACTCCACACAAAAAAAAGGTCAATTTTTCCTTATTTTCAAGTGCAAAAGGATACTCCTTCCACTTGTTCAATCTTCTTTATTTTAGTCTTAAATTGTTGATACAACATTCCTCCTCAAAATTCCGTGCGTGGGTTTTAAGATTTTTAATTCTTAAAATCAGGAAAGCAAGTTTTATCAACGCTACTTGGCCAATTATGGCCCTTTCATCTCTAATTTTGGGCTTTTCAGAGCGCGCATTTGCGCTTCGGTGATCATGAATATTTAATCAATGTCACAGCATTCTGCCCTATGAATTAAATTTGAAACGAAGACTTATCGAGGTAGACGTAAGGTTTGCAAATTGGGGAATATCGCTTGCGTGATATTCTCGGATATCACCCAGTATTAGCTGGGGGATATTTAGTCACTTGCTGCGTTTACACCAATTGCACGCGAGCAAAAATATTTGATGGAT